ACATTAGTATTTAGGATTGACAAACCTAACAACCTTTTCGGATTATCTAAATCTCTATTGCATTATTATGAAAAATAAACAACCGCCAAGAAAGACGAGGATTTTCCATATTGAAAGGAAATGACGTTTTCCGGGGAGTCCCGTAACCTTTTATTCTATTTAGAGTTAAAAATAGCGACTAATAATGTTATTTGATTGGTTGGTCACGAGGGTCACAGGGTGCTCTGGCCAATCAGAAAGCAGGAATCTACCAGGTCGAGTCAATGGACATACGCACTCAGCTACTGACCTAGAAGGTTTTCAGAATCTAGATTTTTGACTGCAATGAAATATTAATTAATTATCGAAAAGTATCTATATAAAATACCGATAAAAAAGTTTTGATCTGTAAATAAATTCGACATACTTTGCCAACGAACACTAATTTAAAAATCAGGTGGCTCAATTGATACGTTTTCATTCAACATTAACAATGAGACCTGTGGTGTCTGCTAGATTCGTCAACGAGACGAATTCGTCTGCTATAGTAGATCTATTTATGTAGTAAATAACGGAGAAGACTCCACTCTAAATATACAATCAATGACCGAAATAAATACAGATTTAAATAACAATGGTACTGATTATAATAATAATATGTCTTTTTCAATGATTTACAATTTTGGTCAAGCTCTTTTTTTGCAACTTACACTCCAATCTAGTTGAAATTGGTAACATAACTTAACATACGATCACGTAGAGCAAGCCTGTGCAACCTACGGCTCGCGGGATGATTTCGTGCGGCTCGAGGTGTCAAGTAAAATTTTGAGAGAAATGCGGCCCGCGAGCAAATGCTTCGTTTGCTCTTGTCATTGTCGGTGTGATATCGAAACCCATTATAATCCGCGCTGTTATATCAAAGTATGACGTCAAAATGAATCTAACCAACAAATCGTTAACGAGGTCTGACCTCGTGTGAACAGTGATTTTACGTCAAATATATCTGTTACTTGCAATGTACATTGAAATACGTTATTGAATAAATGACTTGAAAAAATTGCATGATTCTCATTGTTTATTCCATGATTCATTGATGGTTGGTTACGTGGCCCACGGCCTACTCGCATCCCTCAAATGTGCCCCGCCGTTGCGGAAAGGTTGTACAGGCCTGACTTAGAGCAATAGGAGAATTTTGTTGAAATCCACTAAGATTTTAGTGATAAATCATTGCCATAGCAACCATACCAGTTGTGAAAATTTCGAACATTGACACTAAAATGTTTATAATTTGTTTCCTAATCATCATTTTGTGACCAAACTTTCCTATGGCACAGAGAGCTATACCGGAAAACTATCTGCACAATTTCAAGTCATTGGGATGAATATTTTTTGGGAATTTTTATGACTAAAATCAGAATCTAAAAATCCAAGATGGCAACAGGTACCTTTGGAAAAATATTTTCACCATTTTATTAATCTTGAAATGATGTTTTCTTAGACCTGATAGTATATTTGCTTTATCTCAATTATTAGAAACACTTCATTCTATGGTGTATATCTCATAAAGAAGGAAACCATATTTTTTACACTTAATCAGAATACCGTTCTCACAGCTTTCATATCTTTTTACATTTTGAATATTCAGACACCGAAAGAAGCATCAGAAGATGTCGACAACAGAATCTCTAGCAAATATCTAGGAAAATGCTCAGACCTAAGCTCTATAGAAAGTTTATTATGATGTTTATCATGATTTGAGTGACGTGCACATATTAACATATACTTTAGGCATTTCATCAGGAAGATTTGTTGAGAAATTATTAAGCCTTTTTTGTCCGACTCACTTTCAGAGTTTGGTATTCTTTCGTTCGGCTTTAGTTCTTGATATGAATAATCATATGATAAACATCTATAATATTTTGATATAAAACATATAATTACACTTGTTATAATCATTAATATAACCCTGTGCCAATGCCAACCAAATTGTTGTTCGAAAGTACCTTTTTACTTTCAATCACCCTAATACCTATTCTACATTTGGGAACAGAGTAACCCGATATGAAATTTGCTGCACTTGAATAATTGCACAGTGAATATAATGTGTTCTCGCGGAAAGAAATCTCTACATTAAACCCATGAAAAGAACAATTTTGCGATTTTATCAAATATATTATATGCCTATAAACCATAACCAATAGAGAGTAAGAATATTACGTTAAAATATTTTAAGTTACATTCAAACTTTATAGGACAAACTTTTAATGAATTCGGATGTATATTAGACAACAGGAATAGGAAATGAGTAACACGTCAAGCTATACACTGTTAAAACTAAATGTAATTATTTACCCTGAAACATTGGATAGTTAACACTTTTACTAGCGTAGTCTATTTTTTACACCTTTTGAAATGTAAGTTGAAAACATCCATTTAACACTATATTGGTGTTAGAATACACTATATAAAGTGTTTACACCTCGTTACACCTGCAGCATATATTACGTATATTTCAAAACACTAAATGTAACGCTTAATTAAGTGTTAATTTGTCCTTAGTGCAATTAAACACCTTAAATTATAATCATTTCACTGCTTCGTATGTAGCATTACTCGTATCTTACTATTCAAGTGTGGGAGCCGCGGTGGCTCAGCGAGATAATACCTTCGGATTTTTCAACCCGGTTTTCCCCTGTCAGTGATGCAGGTACGAGGGGCTGAAATGGAAAAAGCGTCTAGTCGTTCGGATTGGAAAATAAAGCGAGGCCCCGTGTGCTACAGGCTGTGCACGTTAAAGATCCCTCGACAGTTGGAAATCGAAAAAGAGCAGGCTAATGCCTCTGTCCTGGCAAAATTTTCCTCATGGCACCCTGCATGGCGTTGCCCGTCTTCATTAGCCCACATGGTGCAGAAAAGTAGGACGTAAAACTCCATTCATTTCATTTACTATTCAAGTGTTCATTCACACTAAAAACAGTACTTCTTCCCAAAAACACCTCAATTAGTGTCATCAAAAGTTGTTCCCCTTTGAACTTGAACATTGATTACATGTTGACACCTGAATGTGTGTTTTGTCGGCATTCAATTTACATTTCTTTTAGTTACATTTGGATTAAGAAGTGGGATTTTCCCTAAACATCAGTCGTATATTATCAGTCGTATATCACGTGGTCTCAGAGGTCGTAATTTTCTCGATCAAGTTCGGCTGAGTACATTCCGTCCGAGGTAAAAATGACGCAAGATAGTTTACAGCTCGAAATTCTAGCCTAGAATAGTAGACATGATGGAAGACGAAACAGCAGGTTGTTGTCTTTATCGGTGTAATCTCAATCGAATTGATGTTGATTTCATAACCATATTCACAATAGTCTTTTCCGTTGATTGGGTTGGAATGACAGCCTCAAAATAGTACTGTTAGTCTTAGAATGCCCTTGTGTTAATAAATTATTAACATGATCACACATTATGTCATTGTTAGTTACCCACTAACATACCCGTATTGGGGTACGAATACCCAGTATATAGTGTAAACTTCCACCAATATTGTATCATAATTCAACACTAAAAGTTTACAAAATTTTAAGTGTCAACTTATTTGTTTCCTCTCGATTAGATGTGAACTCTCTCAATATTTATTACAGTTTATATAGTGTTCAGTAAAGATGAAGTCGGTAGTATGTCTTATGGTTTTTCTCTCCATTTCTACAGGTAAAGTTTATATATTTATTTATTTATTATTTATTTACTTAAGGAATGAATGTGGATCTTGTTATAAACGCTGGTTTATCATGTGACAAGACAAATGACCCGGCGAGGCGGGTTTATTTCTTTCAAAATCTCGTCCCATGCCTGATTCCGTCAAGTAGCATGTAACATTAGCTGCTCAAATTAGAGAAAACTATGTCTCAAAATCTGGAGAGTTGTGTCATACGTTACCAGAGACATATAAAAACATCGAAATTATCTTAAAGGTTTACGTTAACATTTTATATCCCTACGTTTTGCGGTTGATGTTGGAAAATCAATATACGGTAATGCAAAATAAACGTAAAGTTTTAGCGAAATATTTTTGTTTATCTATACAGCTTTATATATCGAGAATTTACTTTTTTAAGCCCAAATCCAAAACTATTCTAATCTGCTTATTTAACAAATAGTATACTCTGTTTTGTTTTTAATTCTTCTAGAACAAATTCAGGTTGATCAAGTTCATCTATAGAAGTAACTAGTATATTTTAGTATCGTGTATAATTTAGATCGTTTTTAATACTAACAATTTTACACTGAAAATAATTTCACTACCCCTTTAATAATCTCTTTTATTTTCAGATTCAAACGACTCTGTATTATAACATGATTGTGGTTCTTCTTATTTCAGATTCAGATGGTTTCATACAAAGGTACTGTGATCAATTCAAATCGTGTTTTTTATGTGGCTGTGGAGACAAATCAGTTTTTAATATAAGTTGTGAGGATAAAAATGACATAATCTTAATGGAACATGGTGGAAATGTAATGAGAGAAAGTGAATATGATTCTGATGACTGTCCATTAGACAGCTATGAAACATGTAAAGAGAGTAACTCCACATCTATTTTAAAGATACAAGATCGAAATGAAGTGTATAAAAACTGTATGCTGAAAAATTGCTGTGAAATAATCAACAAAGTTAGAATAAAGTCGGGCAATAAGAGATTGATGAATTATCCATTTTACTGTTATCCCAGTAAGTTTTTAGATTGATGACTGTTTTCTTACTTGCGTTTCATATAGTTGATCAATACAATGTGTTTTGATGTGGTCCTAGCTTTTAAAATTTTGGAATTCTGAAAATATTAAGTTTGGAACGAAGAATGCTTACCCTAGTGCTTATGTTTTACTGAGAAATGGAACATTGGTTAGGGGGCATCTTTACAATTAATATTTTACAAACTTTTACATCATTAGGCTCTTTCCGAATACCTTGACATTGTGAAAATGTCGCCTAAACAGTGTTCCATTTCCCCGTAAGGCCATGGTGAGGGGATAGTGAGTAACCCGAAAGTACTTTTCTTTCTGTTGCAATCTATATTGACTACATTGTAAAAATACAATACCAAACAAACCTCTTATTCATTTCAAAGATAGAGGACTGAGATAAGTAGTGTAATTTAGGTCGGGACTATTAAGTGATATTTCTATGCATTAATAATTTCTGCTTAAAGGGATTGTAAAGAGGTTTCTAGTCCTTTTTTATGTGTATCGGGGACACATTTGACTTCTATTTGGGATATTCCTATTCTTCGTCCGATGTGGTTCCTCCAATTCCAGCAGACCTCAATACCGTAATAATATATTATGTTATCTCCCCTTACCATATGGCGGCATTTCCAAACTCACATTTTGCCTTCCAAAACTATGTACTACGTCTTTCGGACGAGTGTAATTAGAAAACTCAAATTCAACATGGTGGAAGTTGTAGTCACTTGAAACATAAACCATTGGATTCCTAAAAATGTACAAAGAGCTACTGAGAATAGGTTTATAGCTGACATAGATACAGAAATATCGAGAATTATATATTTTAATGATCGTTTTTTTTTTCAAATTCAAAATGACATGATGTGGTTCCATATCCAGAAATGTTTACAACATCAAAGTATTTCCAATTTACCTGTATCACAAAATGAACAATGAGTCTGCAAACAACTTTTGTTTCTTTGTAAGGCGCCCTTCCACCAAAGCGATCCCCAGTTGTGTATGGTTGCAAGTAAAAAATAGTGGTCGTACGTTCTGACCGCATTTCACTTGGAACTAATAGGCAAAGCAACGTGATCGCAAGAAACTCGGGATAATTTCGGAAAGTTTTAATAATGTTCAATAATTCTCTGCGAATGTCGGTGATCAATTTATATGCAACCGGAACCCACACGAGACGCTGTGCACGCTACACGATCGTAACAGCTACGCAGCTTAGAAGTTATGAACGCAACTCAAATTTAAATCGCTCTCACACTATAGAATAGCGTATACTGAAACATATGAGTTAACTTATGGGTTGATTATTAAAAGCGTGATAGTTTGGCAATTTTTCTCATGTGATATTAGTGAAGTCGATAAAGGTGACGGAATCATGATCGTAACAGGCATGCAACACAATAGCAACAAGATCGCAACAGGTGAGCAATACATTATTCCCCGTAAGGCCATAATAATTATATATACTACAACCAGGCCATCTTTGTTCATCACTTATAACGCTACGATTACCTAAACGATTAGGTAAACCCAGTAAAAATGGATCCGAGCAAATCCAATCAAATTCCTCAGCAAATCCAAATTTCTGCTTACATGTGTCCTCAAACTCAAAATCAACATCTTCGTAAACGCAATACATGGCTCAGTTATCGGTTTGTTGCTTTTGTGCATGGTTACGGACATGTTTGAACTTCCCAAAATTGGGGAATGACATCATTACTGTTTCCTTTTACGTTGACGATTTTACTGGGCAGATATAATCTCATTTTGACTTTGAGCTTGAGTTTGATTTCGGATGCGTTTGGAGTGTTTAAAAATTAATTTTTACTTGCAAATCAAAGTTTTCATACGCTAACGTTCGAGGGTCCCTTTACCCAAGGATCTCTGGATCTACTACTTCAATCTTTCACATTCCAAAACTGATATTATTCGGTTGTTACTTAAACTTTGCCATAATACATCTAATAGTCTATTACTCTGTAGAGAAGCAAATTGACTGTGATTCCTCTGTAACTACTTAAGAAGTTCGTTATTTGAATTTGAAATAAGCAGATGAAACTCATATTATAGTGAATTTATACTTTGTTTCAGAATCATTCCTCATAGATTTATCTAATGAAATAAATGAAAATGTCGAATTTCCAATGATTTATTTTTCTGGAGAGAAGTTTGTTGGACAGAAAATTGATTGTGACTGTTTTTTTAGTTTTGGTCATCTGTATTTAAACAATATATTCATCAATTTAAAACCAGACACCTGTTCCAAAGTGAAATTGTTCAACAAGAATCAGAACTTGTTGAATTGTTCTGAAACTCCGATGTTAGTTACAGAAAATGATTATATTGTTGATGAATTGAAACTGGAGATACGAGGAATGGAACCAGATGTAGAAGATATTTTATTCTTTAGATTTTGGGGTAAGGTTTTATTTTCTAATTATTTGAAACTGTTTGAAAAAATGTCAACGTTTTGGAAACAAGACCAATTCTGCTGAAGTAAATTTGAATGAATGAATTCTTGTCTCATTTATCTTAATTGTGATTTATGAGTTCTTGTAAACAATCTTATAAGACAGGATATATAAATAAAATCTACTTATAGAAAATTATATGTTTGATATGCTATTGATTATTTCCATGTTTACAATCTTCCAAAAAAAGAAACAAATACAATCTCAAAAGGATTGATTCAGAATCTATCCATAGAAAATAAATTATATGTTTGATATGTTATTGTTGATGGGTCACTCAATATTTAATTTTAGGTTTTAACAGGAATATAAATTGTAGTGGATGCAGAAATTCAACAGGTAAGGTTTTATATTGTTAAATAATGAACTGATAGGGTGTATAACATTCTGCATGTTCCTTTAGTAAAGGTAGAATAGATATTGTCTATAATCTATCGTTGCTCTCACAATCCCATATTCTCGTCATTAATTTTGATTGGTAGAGAGTTTACTTCTAGGCCAATTAGATTACTTCAAACAAAATATTGTTGCTCTGAAATCTTTTGTGAATATTCAGGAAACTTGTAAGTAACTTTCAAGTCAAGTTTAACATCGATGGATAATCGAAAAGGGGTTTAATTTGAAAATTATTTCCGGATAATTCAATGGAGGACGCCATTTGCAATCACCATCCTTTAACACCAAATGTTACCTAAGAGTCATTGTCGATGTCTAAATATGTAATATATTAAAGGAGTATTTAGAGAGTTGCAAAAGGAATCTGTAATGGTACAAGAAACGATTTTTGCCAACTTATATGACGCCTAGTTGAGCTTAGAGAAGAAATAATTTTACGTATTCACTACATTTACACACAAAGAAAATGACTAGATCTGTAAAAAGCCTGGAGCGTCACCTAGGCCTCGTTACTTTCAGATATTTCAAGTCTTTGAATCCCAGGTTTTCTTTGGTTTATCAATAGTATAAAATATTTCTAAACATAAACAAAGTTATAATATACCCAGGCTTGATAATTTAACCAAGTTAATGTTGTCACACAATAAAGTTATCACTGTAGTTCCTTTAGCCCTCAAGTTTATAATATTTGGAATATACAAACATTAGTAGATTTTTCTAGTTTTACACCAAACTAATAACTAAAAAAACTGACGACTAGCTAAGATTATATTACACTATATTTCTCATTGTGTTTTATTTTAAGTTAAGAACTTATCATTATTGTGGGACTTTGCTTTCAGCAAATGTGCTTCTCATGCACTTTACATAGATATAGAACAATTGCTTTTTTAAATCAAAATTGAAATTTGCTTTCAGCAAAGTCCCAGTTTGTTATCGAAATGTCTATTCTTTTTTTTTTTTTTTTTTTGTGGGACTTTGCTTTCAGCAAAGTCCCCGTTTGTTATCGAAATGTCAATTCTTTTTTTTTTTTTTTTTTTTTTTTTTTTTTCGAAATTTACACACCTTCCTGAGCTTAGACTACAATAGTTGCAGCAACCATTCAACATTCACGAACCTTAGATATAGGCGACGATGTGCATAAATATATTTTGGATTTTTTTTTGCAAAACCGGAAGTGCCACAGTTCAATATGTGCAAGAATAGTTAATCGGCTCTAGAAGTCGTATTTTTCGGTCGATTTTCTTTGGGCTTGCATTTTTGGAATCTACTGGCAAAATCTGAAAGAATAGCAGTTTCAAAATTTCAAAATTCGAAAATTTGTAGCAGACATTTTTTTTGCCAAATTTTGCATTTTTTTCATTTTTTTGGCTTTTTGTCTGATTAATCTGAAAAAAATTGAGCAAAGACAATTTAAGAAAGTA